GTCCCCCGCCAGGGCGGGGGCGGGGGGGCCCCGGATCGCCCCTAACGGGGCAGCTGCAGGGGAATTGCCCCCTCTCCAGCCCCGCCCCGCAGCAGCAGCAGGGGCCGGGCAGGGGAGAGGCCGGGGAGCCCGGGGAGGGAGAGCAGGTCTCTTACCCCAGCGAGCAATCAGCTGTTCCACTAACCTTTCACCAACAACACCAACACCGCGCGGCCCAGCGCCCAGGGGGCTGCTGGGAATTGTAGTTCCCTCGGGCTGCCTGGCGCTGGGGGGGAGCCGGAGGGGAGACTGCAGCTCCCAGGGAGCCCTGCGGGGAGGGAGCCCAGGCGCTGCCTGGCTGGGGAAGCTGGGGAGTGTAGTTTGCCCGGCTGCAAAGTTCAGGCAGAGCATGGGGCAAGGGGACTTCATTTCCCAGGGTGCACCGGGCTCCCATGGGCCATGAAAGTCTGGGGTATGCGTCAGAGAGGGGTAAGGTTTCAAGTTGTTTAGGGAGAGCCATTACCGCCAGCAGGGAGTGGCCTGGCTCTCTCTGTGCCTCACCCACCATGCCTCTTGCAAGTCCAAGCAAAGCTGACACCACACACACAAACAACAAGCGACTTGCACAGTGCGACACACAAGAGCGGGGCAGACACTGCCACGCCAAAAGAACCCCCTGCCCCCCACACAGGAGCTGCCCTCAGGCTGCAATACAAACACAACCCACAAAATGCACCACGTACAAACTGAACCACCATGCAACCTCCGCCTAGCCGTGGACACAAGGTCACACAAACCGACCACGCAATGCAACAGCAAGCAAGAGCCGTGCGCACAAGGTGCGTACAACCGCACAACACTGCACACAATGCAGCACATCAGTTGCCTATCGTGTTAGTGACCGATAAATTGCTGGGCTCAACACACAAAGCAGCGAGCCTTGCCCTGGGGCATTGGTTCCAGACTACGGGTTGGGCCGTGGAAGGTCGGGCCCTGCAGGGGGATCAGGTGACCTGTGGGGGTGCAAAGTAGGGGAGTATCATAGCTCCTCTGTTACAGGTGGGGAAACTGAGGCACAGTGAGTGCGACGGGGAGGGGGCTCTGACCCCTCCTGCTGCCCCAGGCCAGGCGCCCCAACTAATCCCCCCAGACGCTTTAGGCCCCCTAAAGTGTGGGGCTGGGGCGGCCGCCCCGAAGCATCCTATGGACTCTGCGGCTCATTTTCGCTGATGAGGATGTGGACTCCAATGTTGGATCTGCGCGGGGCTGGAGTTTCCGGGAGGGAGGTCGGGGCCTGGACAGCCTGCAGGAGGGAACACACCAGGACACGCGTGAGAATACTATTGGGGCTGAGCCTTTCTGGGCCGGCAACATCCGTGTCTGGCAGGAGCTGAGTTCGCTGGATGCTCACTTCTCATGGGGGTGGCCAAGTTTCCCGCGGTCCCATAAAGTTTAAACCCCAGGCCTGGCTCTCCGGGTTCTGGGCTGTTCTTTCGCTCTAATTTACCCCTCAAGGTCTTCCCAGGGAGCAGGGGCCCTGCTGGTGATGCCGCTGGACAATATCGACCTCCCGTGTCCGGCGAATTCTCTGCTTCGGCTCCGGTGAGGTCCCGAGGGTGCCGGACTAGAGAGGTTCCAGCCGTGCAGCACTTCCCAGCGTCGCTCTAAGTGCTTTCAAAGGGGGCCAGCTTTGTGAGCCCCAGCGGGGTGCTGAGTTCACGTCAGGGACCGCTCCTGGCGGAGGGCCGTCGGCAGGCAGCGTGAGGGAGGGAGGCAGGTTTGGATACTGCCCAGCTTGAGTTCCTGTCCTGGTCGTGCTTTGGAGTCGCCGCGGGGTCTTGGCTGAATCCCGTCCTTGCTCTGTGCCTCAGTTTCCCCACCTGTAACAGAGGAGCTATGACACTCCCCTACCTTGCAAGGGAGGGGTACGTATGTAATCCCTGCATGCTGCTCCAGTCACGGGAGATGCTGTTCGTTATTATCCACACCGGCCATCAGGGCATTGGAATCCAGACCCCAAAATGGGGGCTGACAGCAGCTTTGAGCCAGACCCAGCGGTATTCAAAATCCCAAGACCAGCTTTCGAAAGCGATTTGGGGCTCTCCCTTTTGTTCACCTTTTGAGCCTCGCGCTGTCTTCTTGGGCGCTTCCCTGCGGCCGACAGGCTGGGATCCCACCTTTGTTAAGGCATCTCCCCAGGGATTCCGGAGAGGGCATTTGCCTGGGCAGGGCAGGGTTGTTGGTTCAAGTCCCACCGTGGGAGCTGCTGGACGGCTGC